ATAGCGACCCTCATTTCGTATTATTAATAGTGACCCTCATTTCGTATTATGAATAGCAACCCTCTTTCTGTTTTATGAATACCGACCCTTTTGTAATATTATGAATAGGGACCCTTATGAATAACGACCCCGATTTCGTATTATGAATAGCGACCCTCTTCTAATATTATGAATACCGACCCTCTTCTTTGATTATGAATAGCGGTCCTTATGAATAATGACCCTTATGAATAATGACCCTTTTCTCCAATTATGAAAAGCGGACCTTATGAATAGCGGTCCTTATGAATATAGTGGACCTTATGAATAGCGGACCTTATGAATAGCGTTCTTATGAATAGCGACATTGACCCCCAGTTGACAACTGGTCCAACTGGAATCAATTGGTTACCAGTTGATTCCAGTATTCCAATATCCATATTGAATCCAGCTAACTTAACTGGAATCAACTGGTACCAGTACCAGTTGGTTCAACTGGTATCTAACTGTTTTTTCGACCTGGGCTACACTCCTATATAAAGATGAAAAGAGATCATTTCATGACATGTTAAGGGCGACACAGAATGCAAGGCTCCCCCCTTGCCATTTGGGCGACTCCGAATGCAAGGCTCCCGCCCCCTTGCCATTTGGGCGACTCCGAATGCAAGGCTCCCCCCTTGCCATTTCGGCGACTCCGAATGCAAGGCTCCCCCCTTGCAATTTGTCCAGTCTTGGTAAAGTTACAAACACTGTACACAGAAAGATGTATATGGGACTACACGAACACGTGGCGTAAAAAACCTACCCCCCCCCCCCCCCCCCCCCCCCCGAGTTTTACGATGTACATGACATATTTAGAATATGAAGGCATTTATAGAGCCATGCTTTTCAGGGAACATGTCTTATCTGATGTTCTTCCACACTTGCATAATAAGAATGATAACGCTCACAAATTATTTTTCACCTCTTCCCAGAACTCAACCTTCTCTTTAATCTAGCTACACCGTACACGCAGCATTCTGAACAATTTCGTCAACATTTCATTAATTGCTGATCTTCGGCAAAAGCGAAGGTAGAACAAGAAGAAGAAGAATTTTACACTCACCAATAATATCGTGGCTCCTTCTAATATACGAGCAGCTAGTCTGACACACGCAGTAGTAAAGATAAATAAAAAGTGATAGCTCCTGATCCTGCTAATGAAGAAATGTGTACTTTTTTGTGTGCATGTGCATTGATTTGAGCATGCGCACTTCATAATAATGACAAAGGGGGAAACCCCCGGCGCGCAGCCTTATTCTCAGCGTTATTTTAAATTACTTGTTTGATTTCAACCACACAATTATGCATTAATTTTGTTTTAATCTTTGTCGTTGAAATTTTTGCTTGAACCATATTTTAGCTCTGACATGTTTATCTCTGACACTTAATTTATCTCTGACATTAATGTTTAAATTGCCTATGATTATCTCAATACATTTTAACAAAATTGCCGCTGTCATTTTTACCTCTGGCATTTTTTACGGCTGACATTAAATAACATTTGGCATAATACCGCCTAATCAGTAGCCTTAAAAATTCGCATTTTCATCTTTATTTTCTTTTTGGAATGGTGTAGTGTCAAAATGGGCATGAGGATCGGCAAGGTCTAAACCCGGGGCTCCAGCAAACTCCAAATGTTGGGAATAAAAGAGAAGACGGCCAAAATAATAAGGGTGCAACCATTTTTTTTCTCTCTCTCTCCCCTCTCTCTCTCTCTCTCTATCTCTCTCTCGCTCTCATTCTTATTTCGATTATTATATTAATAAGTAAACGCGTGGACCTATTGCTTAAAGTTTAGCCTATGTGTGTAGTATTTTATTGCCTAACGGGTCTCTGGAATTTCATTTATAAGTTATTGAAAATAGAATTGACTATTGACTACTGGTCATGCAAATCGTTCTAGAAGAAAATATAGCAACAGGATATTTCACTTTGAAGTGGATTAATTATACAACATTCGGCCCTAATCAGTGACGTACGCAGGATTTTGTCAAGGGGGGGGGGTTAAAATTGGTCCAAAAATTTCGCAATAACTCAGCCAGCCGCTGAATGAAAAAAAAAAATTGGGTCCCCAAAAATTTGCATCGACTCAGCCAGCCGCTGAATAAGGGGGGGGGGGGGAGGGCGGGTCCCAAAAAAATGCAACGGGGGGTGTAAGGTCATCTTTTTTAGGTCATCTATAAGGATTTTTTGTATTATTTTTTTTTTTTATTATAGAAAAAAAAAAAAAACTCAAAAGGGGGGGGGGGTATCCCCAAAAACATACACAAAATATACATATAAAAAAAACGCAAGGGGGGGGGGTTACCTCCCCCCCCCCCCCTTGACTTTGATGGTTTCAGTAACTTATATGGACAAGATGGAATGAGCATATTAGGGCATGCAGGCTCTCAGAATATGACATTGTTGCGGCAATTTAAATATCTCAACCAGGGTCATTAATAAGGAGAGTTTGTGTGAACACTAAATTTTTTCTTTCTTTTTTGCCCCCGGAAAAGTTGTGAGCACTAAGTTTTAAAACAAATATTTAAAAAAAAGTACATTTGTGGTTACCATCTTTTTTTCTTTTTTTTCCAGGGGGGAGGGCTGGGCCCGAAAGGACGATGAGTAAATATCACTCGTGTCAAACATCCTGAACATTTAAGAATCTGTTTTCTTGACACACATCTCTTCCTCCTCTTTTCTATATATATTAGCTCAACAGGAACTCATCCTTCTTCTTTACTCTGCTCAACAAGTATATCTCTTCCCTTTTCTCTACATTGCTCAATATGTACATCTCTTCCCCCTCTCTTCTAGTCAAGTCACAATTCTGAATTGATTCAAATTTTCTCTCCACAACATCATTCATTTCTATAGCTTCATCTTATCTTGGAACTGCTAACGAGTAATTGATACATTTCCTCTCCTTTTTATCTCTTCCTCCTGTTTCTCTTTCACTGTTTCACAATTCACAAAAATGTCCTAGACAACATAAATAAATATATACAAGGGAAACTATTAACGATTGTATATTTTTTTATTTCCTTTTATTTGTTTTTTTCTCACACAATTTACATATCATAAAAATAATTATGCTTTATACAAGCTTCTTGGTATTGCCATTATAAGATGTGGTAATTATACCGATACATGATGTATGTAGATTTTACATACTGTAAGTTTACAATCAATTTATTAATGTCAACTGAGAGAAAATATAAGACAATCAAGAAATAGTAGACTGGCAATATAGCCATCTATGCGCATGAATCTTTTTTTTTAAATGGAAATAAAGGTCTTCTTTTTTCAATGAAGATAATTTCTATAGATTTAGATTTTATTTGACTCTATCAACCCCCTTCAGGGGAGAGCACAAAATATTTACAATACAGAAAGATATATCAAACAAAATAAGATATAATTATAATAAAATACCTAGATATGATATATACATTTTTACATTTCTAAAAAACAATAAACATGAGCTAAAGACTAGTATACACTATACAATTTATAGTTATAACTTAAAAGCCTAAAATCAACCCTCCCACCACCACGCCCTTCCTCCCGCTCTCCCTTCAAATAAAATTTGGAAGTGTGTAACAAAAAACCGTCTAGTTCTTAATGTGATGCTTATTGGACCACGATCAGTTCTTAACAGAGTAAATGATTTTTCTGTCACACTAAACGGCAGCTGTTTGAAAAGAGTAAAAGTGGCAAAATGCCTGGGTGGCACGATTGACGTTGGACGGAACATGTGGAAAAAGTTATTAAAACTGCTATAAGTGTAATTAAGCAAGCCAAAAGTTATGTTCCAACAAGATCTCTGAAACTTCTATATTAAATGCCATCGTTCTTCCTCATTTTGATTATTGTTCCTCGGTTTGGTCTGAGCGATTCCAAAGACAAGCGATTAAATTACAAAAGGTTCAATAACGAGCTGCACGTGTAGTGCTGGGAGAAGGATTTGAAGTATCTTCAAATGATATGTTAAGTCGCTTAGGATGGATGGATGCCTATTCAGACACGTTTCCAGTTTGGACGTGCAGTGATGATGTATTAAATCAATGCATGACATGGCACCAACATACATTTTGAAAAAATAAGTCAGTTCACTACATGATCACAACACCAGACATGCCGTAAGGGATGCATTGCGTGTACCTAAATTTAGGACGGACACATATAAAAAATAGTCCTCTAATTTCTGGAATTACAGTATGGAACAAACTTGGAAGTTCTATCAAGACGTCATCTACTTTGAACAGTTTTAAACACACTCTAAAAGCCCTGTTATCTGCCGATGACGGGTAAGTGAACTTTTGGGGGGTTATCGTGCGAAGCTAACCAATTGTTCCTAACTTCCTATTGGCAAAATCATTAAATTTGGTTGACATGGTTAACTTTATATCATGTATGTAATGTATCAATTTTTCAGCTATCTTGTAAACAACCTACAGTGTTAGTGTATTAATTAAAGAGCAATCGAATGTAAATATATAACAATTTTGGTATCCTGTGTGTTAAGCTATATCAGATTATAAAAAATATACATTTTCAATCATTTTTTTCCTTTCTTTCAAGTATGAACGTGGTTATCATCTGTACAGGTACATGTATTCTTTATTTTATTTTCAGTTTTTTAATGTATTTTCAATTTTAAATTGGAAATTCCATTTACATATTTCTTTTAAATGATCAAGGATAATTCTTGAATGGTCAGTTATTTCATGAGAATACCAATTAATTGGTATTATACCAGTTTATATGCTTGTGTATTTATCTATTTTGTTTTTGCTGCTGTTATTTGTTTCATTCTTACCAAACAGGGCCTCATGGAAGACCAGCAAATTGGTGATATGTGCCACCGTGTATAAATATCAGAAATAATAAATAAATAAATAACATCCTCAATCACCATAAAATCAAGTAGACCTGTTCTTGTATTAAAGTCCCCAGTTAAACAAAAAGGGACATCATATTTGCCTTTTAATTTACCAGGCCCGAGTCAAGAGATCTAAAACCTCATAAGTGTGATGAATAGAACCTTCATATGGCAGGTAAACAGCACCTAACATAAAATCAAATCCATAATACTTCTTATCAATATAAATCCACAAAACAGACTAGGAAGCAGTATATACATGCACATGTATATACCTCGGAGAGGACCTCAACTAAGCCGTGGGTCCTCTGGTTGCTAATACTAACAAGCATTAATGCTTCCTTAGCAGTCAGGTAAATAACCACCACAACCATATATATATATATATATATATATAACAGACATTTAGTATTTAGTAATACCGGGTACCGTATTCCTCTTGATACCTCCTTGAATTTCACATCTTTAATTTGCATTTCTATATTTTTCTAAAGTTTCAAATATAATTTACACTGCCTACTTTCATAACATTTCATATATGGTTTATACACTGTAATGTAAACTTTGTATTTCTTTCGAATCTATGAGATTGGATTATGGCGAAGAGTATAAATGTATTAGACAATACAGAGCATGTACATTTGTTTTCATTTCAATTCATTTCATTTTGTCTTCATTTTACAAACCATGATAAAATGATTGTATGAAAATAACCTACCTGTATATCGATCTGATGGTATAAAAAGTACAAAATTGCATAAATGCAATAAAATAATACATTGAAATTTCGATAAAAGAAATATTGAGGGGTTAATAATATTGTGTTGTACAATAAAAACAGTTTCAAGCCACACCTAAAAAAGCCTGGAGGCTGTTCTTTAGTGGAAAAAATTGGGTAGCTATGATCTTCAAAGTTTAAACAAGTTGCAGCAAATACAGGATCCCTAATATAAAAAGTAGCACTCACAACTGGATTTGCACTGCAAATACATGTAGGCCTATATATACAGTACATGTACATGTACCTGTGTAGATACCATTACATTGCGATTTCAACATGAATTTCCTTTTATAAACATTACCAGGAATGTGAACTTCGGTCAAGTTGAAAATTAATCCTACAAACATATTATATAATAATTTATCCAAAACTAAATATCATTAGAATAGCAATAGAAATAAACATTTTAATTCATGAACAACATTTAAATCATTTTCTACTGGAACCAATTGGTACCTACGTTATGTGTATGGGAATGAGTGAATTTCAGTGAAAATCAGAGTCAACAGGTTACTGCATACATTTGAAAAAATATACTGAACCGAATGTAAAGGGCAGATATTTACAGTTTGATGTGCTATCTTAGAAATATTAGTACATGCAGTATGTACAATAATGCCCTAAGGCAAGGCAAGGCAAATATACTGTATACATGTGGATTGTTCAGGTTTGTGTTTACATACAATACAGTACATGTAACGGTGGATACAGCATCTACTCGTCCAAAGCTGAGAGCCTTCCCAAGATGATCTATATCTCCATGCTTGACAACTGTTCCAGCAACAGCTTTCAACCTTTCGTCAGTCTTCCTGTCTATCTGAGACCTCCTTTAAAAAAAATCATATTATTTTTTTTTTTATAGTGTGTTTCTAATTATGGTGCATGTACATGTACTAGCAACAGGAGCTAGGGGGGGGGGGGGGATCTTTGGGAAAAAAATTGTAGCCAATGGCTACACGTGTATTTAAGCAAACTAGATGGAACTTCGACTGCGCACAGTCAAAATGATGCCCTCGCCATAGAGCGATTTTACAAACCAAAACGGAAGTAAATTTTAATATTCAACTTTGATAGTAATCCATTAACGGGTTCTCAGAATATCGTGATTACAAGCTATTTTTCATATACATGGCTCCGTAAGATAAATTCCTGTCCTGAGTTTGATAGTAATCCATCTGTCAGTTCTAATTATAATGTGTTCACAAGCTATTTATATGCAAACATATTGAGCCCTGAGCCCTGTGACCTTGACCTTAAACCTTGTGACCTTAAAATCTAATCAGTTCATTGGCTCTGCAAGATACATACGGTACATGCCGCCAGTTTGGGGGAATCCATCAATCGGTTCTTGAGATAAGGCGATCATGAGCTACTTTTGCACACATAATAAGCCCTGTGACCTTTGACCTCGTGACCCCAAATCGAATCAGTTCATTGGCTTTGCAAGATACATACATGACCTAAGTTCGGCGGTAATCCATCAATTGGTTCTTGAGATAACGCGATCACGAGAACGGGACGGACGGACGGACAACCAGAAAACATAATGCCTCCGGCTACTTTGTAGCGGAGGCATACAAATCTTTCCACAGACGCTAACTTGCTTGGAGGGAAGGAACCATGATGGCAACAAACACAAAATTTCAAGCAAAAAAAAAAGTATTTCATTAAAACGAAACTTACAACCATGTGCGACACACTTCACACAGCGTTTCAGTCTTTTTGAGAATATTTTTCTTTTTAAGTATGTTTTAACCTGTGTTTTCTATTGAAGTAGTGATAAACATTTTAGGGCATTTGGTTGACATGCAGTATGTGCCCCGAAAAAAAGTATTCATGAAGAATCAACGTACTACTGTAATTTTGAGAAAAAACTGAATAATTCCAGGAAAAACGTAATGGTTGGCAGTGCACTCCCCCCCCCCCCCCCCCCCCCCCCTGGATCCGCCACTGCAACTCTGGGTATTGGTGCTAATGCATTATTTTGTGGACAAATTTCCTTATTCCATTGTGTTTTGAATTCTTCCGTCTTAATCAAGTCTTTCTCTACTGCTACTGCTTTTTCATCTACAATACTTACTTTACCAGGGACCTATAATATACAAGCACTGCTTTTTAATAGGTTCCTCACATTCTTACTCAATCTATTTTATAAATTAAGAATCATTGAGACGTGCTCATATATCCTACATGTATTGTATCATTTTTATTTTATATGTATGTCTATATTTTCTGTAAAAATGTGGAACAAATAAACTTGAAACTTGAAACACCAACACCTCCACAAACAAGAGTGTGAAGTCATTAAAACTCACCTGAAACTGAGCTATACTCCTCTTCTCTTTCCTTCCTGATGTTCAAATCAATACTTTTCCTCAATCTTTCTTCGAGTGCTTTATCGCGAATGTTTACTCCTGTCAAGGTCCTCAGTTTCAGCGGGACGAAAGACATATCACAACAGAACACAGGAATAACTCTGCCTCCTAAGTCCTTGCCTGTGACAGACTTGAGCGCCATCTCAATCGTCATGGTGATATCCACATTTTCATTCTCACGATCCTCTTTCGTGATAAGATAAACCACATGTGAACAGTTTGAGACGTCCTTCTCAATACTTTTTAATATCGGCACGCCAAGTTTACCATCAAAAGGAGATGTCATTTTCCACCCATTCCTTTGAATGAGCTTCTCCATCTTCCGAAAATATGTTGTTTTTTTTGAGGATGAAAGTAGATAAATGTCATAGAACTCTTTTTGTGTGACGTGTAGGGGAGTACTTCTTGAAGGATTGACGGTCTCCATTTCCTCAGTTTTGCTACATGTAGTATATCCATAGGACCTCAAATGAGAGTAGAATAGAAAGAAAGATACATATAAGTATCACTGGTAAGTGGGTCACAGGTTCGAGCCCCGGCAAGACACTTAATATGTCCCTGAGCAAGGCATATTATCTACATTGCTCCTCTCCATCCAGGTGTGTTAAATGTGTAGGATGCAAACTTCATAGTGGTTGGATTAGCAAGTGCTCGTTCGGCTATTTACTTATACATATGAGATATGAATATGCTTGTTTTCTAGGTAATTGGGACTTATCATTCATTCTTTTCATGCTGTTTCAAGTATTTTTTGCCAGTGATAACTTGATAAATAAGCAATGAGCAATTGAATCATTAAATAAATATCAAATTTGGTGTCACTAATTATAGACAAAATAAGACAATTTCTGATGATTAGTTAGCTTTATTTTTAAATATAATCAAGAAAAAAATAAAAAGAACTAGATGGAACTTTGACTGCGCGCAGTCAAAAATGATGCCTCCGTCATAGAGCAATTTTACAAACAAAAACAGAAACAATTTTTAAATTCAAGTTTAATTGTAATCCATCTGTCGGTTTCAATGATAATGCATGCACAAGCTATTTATAGGCATACATAATGAGCTATGTGACCTTTGACCTTCGACCTGGTGACCCCAAATCGAATCATTTCATTGGTTCTGCAAGATACATACATGACCTGAGTTTGGCAGGAATCCATCAATCGGTTCTTGAGATAATGCGATCACGAGCCATTTTTGCATACATAATGAGCCCTGTGACCTTTGACCTTCGACCTTGTGACCCCAAAATCTAACCAGTTCATTGGCTCTGCAAGATACATACATGACTTAAGTTTGGCAGGAATCCATCAATCGGTTCTTGAGATAACGCGATCACGAGCCATTTTTGTATACATAATGAGCCCTGTGACCTTTGACCTTCGACCTTGTTACCCCAAAATCTAATCAGTTCATTGGCTCTGCAAGATACATACATGACTTAAGTTTGGCAGGAATCCATCAGTCGGTTCTTGAGATAACGCGATCACGAGAACGGGACGTACGGACAACCCGAAAACATAATGCCTCCGGCTACTTCGTAACGGAGGCATAACAAAGTAAGTTGAATGGGATAGACTGTAAATGGTGCAACCACCAACGGGTAAAAATTGACAAATGCTTGCTGATCATTAGACACACTGAATTCACAAACACAGGTAAGGATATATGCTGGGGCAATACATTTTTCAGTTTCCAAATAGACCCATTGCCCCATATATGTCACTCAACTATCCTTGTGGTACAGTAGGTCATTCACTTTACACTCATTCCAAGGATTGAGTGTTCGGATCCCATTCCAGCATTACGGTCCTTAGGCAAGACATTAATCCACAATCTACCCAGGTGTAAATTGCTGGGGTGATAATAATTACAGGGCTCTAAGGAATAACAGCATTGAAGCTGATGATGCTCTTTTTGGTAAAAAAATATTATTAACATTAATTATGATTATTATTGTTATTATCATTCTAATTAGTTTCATCATTATCATTATTTTTGTTACTATTATTTTTATTATCCGGCAAGTTTTCAATAATTTATCTATAAATCTAGTGAGAAACTTCTTGGGACTTGTAATGGAAATTTCATCACTATCAGATCTCCAAACACACAATGAATGATGTTTGGGGTAGGTCAGAAAAGGAGCCATTAAGAAATTACTTTTACCTCGATTAGCAGAATTGCTAGCTGATTGGAGTTTTTTTCCCTGATGGATACCTAGGGGCCTAGGCCTCGGGATGGTGGTAGGCTTGGTTGAAGAAAGCTGTCATGGTAACAACAAAACAAAAAATCATTCTGACAGTGTGAAATAAATTATCCTTATTGGCAAACACAAGGAAGACTTAAACATTTTTCTAGATATTATGAATTAAATAAAAACTCACTCATGATGTCCTTACCTGACATTCAACTTTTTCAATGAATGTAACTAGTATGCAAAAAAAAATATGCCTCACATTCCAAGCTTTGCAAAATGGTACTCTTCTGTATGTATACAGGGCATCTGTCACCACTAAAGCATCTTCATAAATTTGTCATGTTTATTATTTCATCTTCCATAACTGGGGGCTTCCACAACAAAACATTGGAAGAAGAAAAAATAAAGAATATGTAGTGTAAAGTCAGACTTATTTCTCAAGCACTGCATCAATTATGTCTTGTTAATCCATTCCTTCCCATCCCTCCTTTGGTAAAATGTGGATTTGACAGCATCCAAACAAGCTCATGCTTATTCCTGATAGAGAGACTACTTAAATGTAACACTACAACTTTGAAATGGAATGATAACAGATTTACTTACCTTGACACCAGTCCTCTCTCTCTCTTCTACTTCCTTCTTAACACTCCCAGCTCCCATCAAAACGTGCCCTCCGTTCCTGGCTGGCACCAGTGCAGGCACATCCGGTGACTTCTTTGCTAACTTTGACCTTTTCGGATCGACATCTGTAGCCTTTGCCGATTTGACCTCGTCTGTACTCCTTCTAGATCTCCTGCCTTCTTTGCTCAGATTTATCGACCTCCGACCTTCTTCGCCCAGATTCCTTGACCTTGTGACCTCTTCACTTGGCCCTTGAACCTGATCTGTGCTTGACCTAGAACTGTTGACCTTTGCAAAACTGGTAGAGGGGGTAGGTGAGGAACTTGAGAGCTTTCTCTTATGCTCCTCTGGAGGGTTAGATCCGGCACTGGATGAGGCTGTAAGACAGAAAATAGAGTAGAGTCAAGTACAAACTTATTACTTATCTTATACAAACACAGAAAATTTCTGATTGTCAGACATCGAAAGTTGAATATTGAAAGTTAGAATACTAAAAGCAACACAAAATCTCAAGAGAGAGATGGGATTTTGTTTGTTTAAGACATACAAGCAAATCGTGGAGATATCTAAAAAGATTTGTTTTCTATAATTGCATCCTGATCTTAATATTATTACACTGGAAATACTGGGTCATACAGAAGACTCTTTGCTCAAATCTTCAGAGAAATTTCTTCATTTAATTTTATAAAGAAAATGATGCCTCCGCCATAGAGCGATTTTACAAACCAAAACAGAAGCAATTTTTACAATTCAAGTTTGATTGTAATCCATTAGCAGGATCTCAGAATATCGTGATTACAAGCTATTTTATATAAATGTATGACCCTTTGACCTCATGACCCTAAAATCTAATCAGTTCATTCGCTCTGCAAGATACATGTACATACATGTCCTGAGTTTGTTAGTAATCCATCCGTCAATTGGTTCTAATGATAATGCGATCACAAGCTATTTTTGCATACATAATGAGCCCTATGACCTTCGACCTTTGACCTCATGACCCAAAATCTATTCAGTTCATTGGCTCTGCAAGATACATAAAGTGTACATGACCCAAGTCTGGCAGGAATCCATCAATCGCTTCTTGAGATAACGCGATTCACAAGAACGAGGACGTACGGACGGACAACCCAAAAAACATAATGCCTTCTGCTACATTGTACTTCGTTGCGGTGGCATAACAAAGCAGGACTTTCTCCACTACACAGTTCTTTTATACTTGAGAAAGATAGTTATGTCAGTAGAAGTTATGACTGATTGAATGGCCATTTCATGGACGTTTAATAGTTTCCTCCCATATGTGATTTGTAAGGTGCTCAATTCACTTGAAATCAAATACTGAAGACGCACTTGTGAAACACAAACAAACAAAAAAAGAGATCACATAAAAGCATCTGCACTATAAACAAAGGAACAGTAGTATTAAGACAGAACTTACAAAAACAACAGAACTATTAATTATTTGCCAAATCACATTAGAACTATAAGATTCACAGTAAACATCTTCAGCAAGCCAAGGCTTGTGCAAAAACCATCTGAAATTACACTCATTCACGGCTCAAATTAATTTTTGTCCACGGGGGCTCTTCCAAAAAACAGCCCCTGTAAGCCTTCTCTCACGGCTCTTTTAGTACTGACGGGGGCTCTTTTTTTTAATACAAATTTCCATTGAATTGGTACCCATGATACTCCTAAATTCTTTGCTATTTCATCATTATCATTTATTTAAGTCTGCATTTTCCTAGCTCTTACAACTTCACAAGTTACATAGGGGTTCATCCCGTGATGATATTCTCTTCATTTCTTCCTGTTCTGCACATTCCTCCTCATCATTCAGAGCCTTCCTGTTCTGCACATTCCTCCTCATCATTCAGAGCAACCTTATTATATTCTTTCTTTTGTCTTTACCATATCCTTCCACAACATTTTTATGTATTTTTGCATATTTAATGAGCTATGACTTTTGACCTTTGACCTACATATTTAGAAATTGAACTGGGGCTGTATTTTGATACCATGTACCTTCATTTCAAATTTCATTAAAATCCATCATACATTACTATTAAAAGTTATCGAATGGAAACCACATTTTTTCGAATAATTAGCTTTTTACACATATTTAATGAGCTATTACCTTTGACTTATGACCTAAATACCCCGAAATCGAACTTAGGCTGTGTTTTGATACCATGTACCTTCTTATCGAATTTCATTAAAATCCGTCAAACATTACTAAAGTTATTTAAACATATTTGTGGCTTACACCCCGTAAATAAGATTGACTGATCGATCTGTAATTGAAAAACAAATATGTTTAAGTAATTGAAATTTCTCCCAGGAAGCATTACATTTATAAAAATTACTAAGTTATCGAACAGAAACCAGATTTATTACGGACGGCAGCGTTACTTTATCCCCTCTGACTTCTCTGTCGAGGAGATAATAAATAATGATAATTACATGTACACATGTATATGGGTTGTGGGGCAAAAGCAAAAGGGGGGGGGTAGAGACTGACAAAGTCACAAAAATCTATGAGAAGCAATACAGAGGGGAAAAAGGAGGGGGGACCACACCCCCTGACACCCCTTCCCCAGATTTGCACATTGCATTTTCATATCACATACCAGCATTTGGGCCATATTCCATAAGATGAAGTTGTCGGGCAGCATCTTCCAGGCCATGTTTGAGGAGGATTTTCTTGAGTTCTTCAAGGAATGTTATGCTTGACCCCACTTGATTTCTCCATTTGATTAATACCTAGACAAGAAAGAAAAAGAAAATATTGTCTCTACAGATATTCATCATCTGAGCTGCAGCAAAATAATCTGGCCTATTCGTCTCAATCTCCTAACAAGGACTGCCAACAATTTATTTGTTCATACCTAAAGTGGCAAGATGTGCCACAGAATTGCCAATGTGTTTGATTGATCGCACCTTCAAAAATTCATAACTTTATTATTCTTAATCGGTTTCGGGCATTTTTTGCTCAAATTTTCATTGCCCTCCCCTGACATCCCCTTTAAAGATACTATGTCCCTTTTGCAGGCCAACATCAAATTCTGTAGAACTTTGCAGGAATTATATATGTCACGTATGTCCTATCTGTGAAATTTAAACGTTAGCAGTGTCCTAGTATTAAAATTATGCAAGGAAACCAGTTTACTCTCTAGACTTTCCTGTCAGACACTATTGAGTGAATGACTGACAACTTTTTTATTTTGTTAATAACATACATAACATGAGCTGGAACAGGCACATGAGCATTTGTCGACATCAATAACCCACTACTTGTAATGGCCAAAATTAAACTGATTGAATCTTTGTGCAGCACAAACCGTACATCCATTCGGTACAAGGGTCTGAAAATCAGACTATTACTTACATGTAGGTGATTGCAAACACTTATGTCGATTCGACAACTAATGGTCGTTATTTTCCCACAAAAAGCCATTTTCAAACCCTTTCGTTTTGAGGGAAGTTCTAAATAAGGCATGAGATATTTATTATTGCTGTCGTTCCGATGCAGGATCCTGCAATACGCGCTCCAGAACGATCGGCGCAACGACTAGTGACAGGAGTACAAATATTATACAACACTGCGCCAGAACGCGTCGGCGTGATAATCTTCCGACTGCAGTAGGATGAATTGATTTAATATTATATACGCGCAGCGCTGGCAAGCGTTTAAGCCGGTACACTGTACATGCGCACGACACAAAATTATATATCGAGTGTCCCAACATTGACATTTCTATATTATAAACAAGTCGGAGTTAAAATAACTTCTACCACAGCTGTGCGTGTGTTTATAAACATGACTTTACAAATAATTTCTACGTACAATCGTGCGTTTGTTTATAAACATGACGGAGTTAAAATAATTTCTACTAGAACTGTTTGGTTGTTTTTAAACATGACGGAGTCAGTTAAAATATTTTCTTCTAAGACCGTGTTTGTTTATATTACATGGCGGAGTTTAAATAACTTCTACTACAAATTATGTACGTTTGTTTATGAGCATCACGGAGTTAATATAATTTCTACCACAATTGCATGTGAGTAATTTGTTTATAAACATGACATTTAATCATAATTTCTACTACAATCATGCGTTTGTTTATAAACATGACGGAGTTAAAATAATTTCTACTACAACTACCGGTATTTGGTCGTTAAACATGACGGAGTTTATAATTATTTCTTCTAGGACCGTGTGTTTGTTTATAAAAATGACAGATTAAAATAAATTGTACTACCACCGCGCTTTTGTAAATGACAGAGTTAAAATAATTTCCACTACAACTGTGCGTTGGTTATAAACGCGACAAAATAATTTCTACTAAATCTACATCCGAACACAGTCATGACGGAGTTATGATAGAATTTCTAGGTCATCACAACTGAACCCAACGCTATATCCACACACACAAAAACAACCACGTGTTCAGCTCATGTCCAACACACTGGTTGGGCGTACCAGGGATCCCTGGGCTTACGTTGGTGGGCGGTGTTAATTGCAAGCCTGTGCCAATCGATAATCAGCTTTGAGACTAATTTCTTTAAAAGTGTATCCATTCAGAATGTTAAAGGAGTGCTACTGTATATCCAAATCATAATGAAACTGTCTTCGACTCGAAAAGGGTCTTCTCATTGGCTAAATAATAATTTGCAAGTTTATTTTTTGAAAGCAAATATTTGTTTTCAGTTGTCATTTATTCTCCTGAGGTATTCCAAGTAGTATGAAGTCTGAATTGGCAGACTATACAAGCCCTTTCAGTTTCAGCTGGCTGGGGCGTGTCATTTATCTTAGATAAGAACTGTCAAAACATGTCTTGGAAATGTAAAAAAAACTGTAACGTAACCCCTCTTACTTTTATGACAATGAGATTGCCTACAAGTATTAGGCTATGCTTGCTCTGTGCGTGGAGTGGTATGCGACAAATTTCTTCCAGCAAAGAGCCATCCGGGGAAGGGGGGGGGGGGTATTTTGATGTGAAATATTTTCAATCAAAAGTCGCCACCACGTTCTACCTCATTTTCTTTTTCTTTCGCAATTTTTGGAATCCTTTCATATGAATATATATTTTAAGTCATGACCTTTTTATATAGGTATGCGAATTTTATATTTTTGACGTAACCTCAAAGTGCGAGTTAAAAGCACACAGCTATGATTACAATTTGGCAAATTGAAATTCATAATTACTATCATTTCGTCTACAACTAGTTCATCTAATAAACAAGGAATTACACCCCCAAGAGTCTGTTGGCCATTCCGATAGGCCATGATTTCTTGTCGAATATAGAGACTTTTTTGCGATCGGGCGTGGGGGTGGGGGTTGGGGGGGGGGGGAGAGGAGGGGAACTGAATTCAGACAAGGATTAATAGTCGAGAACGGTACAACGAATCGTCTTCTTTTATAATTTATTGAAATGTCAAAGCTTCCGTGCGGGAGGGGGGGGGGGTACTGAATTCAGACAAGGATTAAGAGTCTAAAATGTTACAACGAATCGTCGTCTTTCTCTAATAATTTAATGAAATGTCAAAGCTTCCGCGCGGGAGGGGGGGGGGGGGGTACTGAATTCAGACAAGGATTACGAATCGTCTTCTTTCTCTAATAATTTAATGTTAACGCTTCCGAGCTGGAGGGGTGGGGAACTGAATTCAGACAAGGATTAATAATCGAGAACGGTATACAACGAATCGTCTTCTTTCTCTAGTAATTTAATGAAATGTCAAAGCTTCCACGCTTCGCGCTGGAGCGGAGGGGGGGGGGGACTGAATTTAGATAAGCATCAATAGTCGAGAACTGTACAACTAATTGTCTTCTTTCTCTAGTAATTTAATGAAACGTCAAAGCTTCCGCACGGGACGGGGGGGGGGTTAAATTCAGACAAGGATTAAGAGTCAAGAACGGTACAACGAATCGTCTTCTTTCTCTAGTAATTTAATGAAATGTCAAAGCATCCACGCTTTGCACTGGAGGGGGGGGGGGCTGAATTTAGATAAGCATAAATAGTCGAGAAATCGTCTTCTTTCTCTAATAATTTAATGAAATGTCTAAGCTTCCGCACGGGACTAGGGGGGGGGGTTGGGGGGACTATTAAGTTCAGACAAGGATTAAGAGTCAAGAACGGTACAACGAATCGTCTTCTTTCTCTAATAATTTAATGAAATGTCAAAGCTTCCGCACGGGACGGGGGAGGGGGGGGGGGTTTGGGCTGAATTCAGACAAGGATTAAGAGTCAAGAACGGTACTACGAATAGTCTTCTTTCTCTAATAATTTAATGAAATGTCAAAGCTTCCGCATGGGACGGGGGGGGGGGATTAAATTCAGACAAGGATTAAGAGTCAAGAACGGTACAACGAATAGACTTCTTTCTCTAATAATTTAATGAAATGTCGTAGCTTCCACGCTTCGCCCTGGAGGGGGGGGGAACTGAATTCAGACAAGGATTAATAATCGAGAACGGTACAACGAATCGTCGTCTTTCTCTAGTAATTTAATGAAATGTCAAAGCTTCCACGCTTCGCGCGCTGGAGGGGAGGGGGGGGGGGACTGAATTTAGATAAGCATTAATAGTCGAGAACGGTACAAAGAATCGTCTTCTTTATCTAATAATTTCATGAAATGCCATATTTCCGCCTTGGAGGGGGGGGGGGGGTGGGGGGCTAAATTTAGATAAGCATTAATAGTCGAGAAATCGTCTTTCTCTAATAATTTAAGAAAATGTCATAGCTTCTGCGCGGGACGGGGGGGGGGGGGGGGAACGGGGGGCTGAATTCAGACAAGAATTAATAATCGAGAACGGTACAACGAATCGTCTTCTTTCTCTAGTAATTTAATGAAATGTCAAAGCTTCCACGCTTCGCGCTGGAGGGGAGGGGGGGGGGGACTGAATTTAGATAAGCATTAATAGTCGAGAAATCGTCTTTTTTCTCTAATAATTTAAGGAAATGTCATATCTTCCGCGCGGGACGGGGGGGGGGGGGGGGACTGAATTCAGACAAGGATTAAGAGTCAAGATCGTCTTCTTTCTCTAATAATTTCATGAAATGTCAAAGCTTCCGCACGGGACGGGGGGGGGGGGCTGAATTCAGACAAGGATTAATAATCGAGAACGGTACAACGAATCGAGTTCTTTCTCTAATAATTTAATGACATGTCAAAGCTTCCACGCTTCAAACTGGAGGGGGGGGGGAACTTAAATCAGACAAGGATTAATAGTCGAGAACGGTACAACGAATCGTCTTCTTTCTCTTGTAATTTAATGAAACGTCAAAGCTTCCGCACGGAACAGGGGGGGGGGGAGCTGAAATTCAGACAAGGATTAGAGTCAAGAACGGTACAACGAATCGAGTTCTTTCTCTAATAATTTAATGACATGTCAAAGCTTCCACGCTTCGCACTGGAGGGGGGGGGGAACTGAAATCAGACAAGGATTAATAATCGAGAACGGTACAACGAATCGTCTTTTATAATTTATTGAAATGTCAAAGCTTCCGTGCGGGAGGGGGGGGGGGTACTGAATTCAGACAAGGATTAAGAGTCTAAAATGGGCTAAAATGTTACAACGAATCGTCGTCTTTCTCTAGTAATTTAATGAAATGTCAAAGCTTCCACGCTGCGGCTGGAGGGGAGGGGGGGGGGGACTGAATTCAGATAAGCATTAATAGTCGAGAACTGTACAACGAATCGTTTTCTTTGTCTAATAATTTAATGAATATTTATTGTCACTAAATTATTTGACTATTCATTAAAATACTGCAGAAAAGGGATTTAATTCTAAAATCACCACTGAGATATTATTCGCTATCATGAGTCATTTACTGGTATCTTGATCTTAGCATTGCGAACTTAAGACTCCTCAATCATATCGATCATAACAATTTTTAATAAAATTGCTGAATTTTATAATCAAAATTTTGTATCATTGCTTCAATTTTCGAAAAAAAATAACCGACATGACATGACAAGTAGGGCCTAATTCAAACAGGCACATCACAACCACACAAACAAGCAACAAAATAGGCCTACACACCGCGAATAGATCGAGGAGCTCGAAATGACTGTCTATATAATACATGTAGTAACACTAGACAAGATTAGTTTCGCATTATTACGATTAGAATTTTATAAAAAGAATCATGGGTATTGAATAAATATCTTGATACTTTATCGTCTTTATTAACAATTGATTTTCACATCTATCCCAATTTTGACTCTCGTAGACTTAATTTCCCCATCAATCTATTCTCTCGCTCTCTCCCTCCCTCCATCTTCCAAGTGTACCCCTTCCTCTCCCTCTCTCTTGTCTCCATCTTTCCTCATGTTTGTTTATCAACACCCAAGGAATTGCGCGCAGGGCCTTTGTTCAAACAAAGTTCAAGGGTTCAAATGGGCGGCATTTTGTCTCCTCGCATTCAAATCTCAAAATAGAACTCCAGTTCAGAATTGCGCAATATACCTCTCAGCCAAACATAAAAAAAAGGTTTAGATTTTAATGGGTCAAGTTTTACTTGCCGATACGTCTTTTTTACACGAGGTCGTGGACAGAATTGAGGTTAGATTTATCATGGAATGTGTTGATAAAACCCAAGCAATCTATATTTTCCATACTTAGATCTATAGCTTGAAATGAAATTGTGAGCAAATAAACTTCACTATTGTAAAACCCATCGATCTATAGCTTGTAATTAAAACTAATCAGGAATAATCTCAATCACATTGCTCTGCAATTCCAACGCTAGCTAGCTCGCTCACTCCAGTTGGCTTGCGCCTATACCATGCGTGGCTAGCTAGGCTGCGAGTACGTAGCGGCCGCGCTGTATTCAGCTAGCGCATCCTTTTATGATTGCTGTGCATGTGCGCACTGAAATTCGTCCTCCTGCGTCGCGATGATTTCAAACTAATAATTAAATTTGGAGACTGCAGTCAGGCAAAGTGCGCGTACCAAATTCGTCCTCTTGCGTCGCGACGATTTCAATTTGATAATTAAATTTGGAGACTGCAGTCAGGCAAAGTGCGCGTACCAAATCGGCGCCGATCGTTCCATGCAGGATCCTGCATCGGAACGACAGCAATAATAAATATCTCATGCCTAAGTATTGTCTTCCAAATGCCTTTGGAATTTAACCTTTTCCTTTTTTTGACCTGCAAATGAGACATACTGTAGTACCTTTAATCTCTTGATGTTAAATTCAGAATATAAATCAATTTCAAGAGTCATCCGCTTGAGTCTCTCTATGCCTTCCCATGCCCTCTCCTTGCCAGTCATTAAAACATGTACTGTAGACAGGTTTCATTCCAACTGCTGTCCGGCTGTGGAAATTGCTCCCTGCCTACATGTATGTTGTACGGAACATTTCAGATAAGGGGCTTCAAGCTTTTAAATGTAGAATATATGGATACCTCCTTGAAGTGTCAGAATTTTGTTTTTGCTTGTATTTTGTGTTGGTATTAGTTTGTTCCTTTATATTGTTTTTTTCATAATCATTCAGTCATTCTGAGATGCAGTGAACCACTTGATTGGCACACCAGAGCACACAGTGAGAGTCTGCTGTTTCAGCACATTTTAAAAGATGTTTGGTGATACTATTCTTCATGTTTTGCAACTAAGACAAAAGAGAACAAAAGTCAAAAGAAATCCATTGTTGTCTTACATGGAAGAGAGCCTTTTCGCGCTGTGCAACTAGGACGTTGAAAAAACTAATCAGTTTGTCAAACTTCATACAGTTGTTCTCCAGGAGAAGTAGTCCAAGCTTCCTATAGACCAATGTACAGTCTAGCTTTGATGCAAGAGTACCAAGGGAGGTATCCTCAATCAGGAAGTTTGGTCTCCTTTTGAGTTCTGAAGAGAATGTTTGAAATAAAGAGAAGAAGTTAGTTAGGTTTAATAAATTGGAATAATAATAAATGCGTTCACAGGCTATTTTTGCATAGATAATGAGCCCCATGACCTTTTACCTCATGACCCCAAAATCTAATCAGTTCATTGGCTCTGCAAAATACATACATGTACATTGTACATGACCCAAGTTTGGCGCTAATCCATCTATCGGTTCTTGAGATAACGCGTTCACGAGCTATTTTTGCATACATAATAAGCCCTGTGACCTTTGACCTCGTGACCCCAAAATCTAATCAGTTCGTTGGCTCTGCAAGATACATACATGACCATATTTTGGCAGTATAAAATCCATCAATCGGTTCTTGTGATAACGCGATCATGAGCTATTTTTGCATGTACATAATGAGCCCTGTGACCTTTGACCTCGTGACCCCAAAATCTACCGTATTTGCCGGCGTATAGGCCGCAGTATTTTTGGAAGAAAAAATATCAAAAAGTCGGGGTGCGCCCTATATGGCGCTATGCCTGGCAATGTCTCCCAGCTCAGTAATCAGTGTGTTGACTCACCACTCGGAAACTACAACAACACTAACATTTGTCTGTCATCTTGGTTTGAAAGTAATCTTTCTAATAGATCTCAATATGTAGTTTATAATAATAATTCCTCAATTTTTTTTATATAACAAATGGTGTACCACAAGGTTCTATCCGAGGACCTGGTACTCTATTGTTTTTAATTCACATTAATGATCTTACACATTCTTCTAAAAACATTGTTACTATTATTTGTGACAAGTTTACAAGCACAAATCAGCGCCCTTAACTGCACCTCGATGTTAAATGAAGGTCCTTCCCCGCGTGGGTTTTCGGCAACAAACAACAAAATGTCAAAATCGGGGGTGCGGCCTTTACGGCGCTGCGGCCTTATCGCCAGCAAATACGGTAATCACTTCATTAGCTCTGCAAGATACATACATGACCCAAGTTTGGCGGTAATCCATCAATTGGTTCTTGAGATAATGCGATCACGAGAACGGGACGTACGGACAGACAACCAGCAAACATAATGCCTCCCGCTACTTTGTTTTGGAGGCATAAAAACACAATACTGACGTTATGTACGTCCTCTGCACATTTTTGGTAACAGCAGTAATTCTTACATTTTACACAAATTTATCAACATATTTTCTCAGAAATTTTCATGATATTAGCAGAGATGCCAACTTTTGGAAAACATAAATAGGGAGGATTTGTAACGGACACCAAATAATGTGCGCGTAGCGCACATCTCGAGCGCGTAGCGCCCGACCCATGCGGCCGGGTCCAGGGCCCGCCTTAGGGCCCTGGAAGCTCTGGGGTTCTAGATGCTCTCTGGTGCAATCTGAGCCTTATTTTGCAGCATTTTACATGTGTATTTAGTTCAATAATTCCCACTTTTTTTTAAAATAACATACAAATTGTACAAAATGCATGATGAATTCCTTTCATATATATGATACAGTGTTCGGTCTTATACTTCTGATACCATTTCTTGGTCTTCTTTAGCTGATTTTCCGCCATTTGGATTCTGTGTCAATATCCACGCATTGGTTACGGCGATCCATATGCTGAAACAATCTTTCGCTACTCTTAATTTGTCTTTTAATATAGTGGATTTACTACATGCTAAAGTTAACAGACGATATTTCTCATTCAATTCACAGATATATATACTGATAAGCGCCAAAAAAAAAAAAAAAAAAAAAAAAAAAAAAAAAAAAAAAAAAAAAATCATTTTTTAATTTTTTATAATAAATCGGGAGGATAAGGATGGTGATCGTAAGGTCGGGAGTTGGGGTGAATTATCGGGAGCCTCCCGATGAAATCGGGAGGGTTGGCATCTCTGTATTAGAAAGGTTTTAAAAAACCCTCATAAACAAATGTAGAAAGAATGACGCTTAAGTCGGTCTTTAAATACATGTACAAGACAATACTTAAATTACCACGAGAATCGGGTGCGATTTCCTTCGTAATTTAGTAATGTGACATACAGTGTATGTCGGTATGAAATTACAGTGTTTGAGATCCAAACCAGCCCTCTAGCTTCAGTTTTCAGTGTTCAAATGACCTGCTAGTTATTCACGAACGCGCGGACATGTTTTTCGCCGGAGTGCAACGACCTACCCCTACACTGCAACCACAAACATGACTATGTCCATGTGACGTCGGGTAGCCATTTTTGCACGTTAGCTCCGAAATTGGAACGTAATATGTATATACAACTGTAGTCTTTTTTCTGTCCCAAATTTTTATCATGGACAATGCAATCCCATTTAAAAAAATGTAATTCCGTTTAAAATTGTGTTATTTATAACTTAAAACTATTACCGGTAAATGTGAGTGAATATTTCACTGTTGTCCCACATACCGATATATTTGATATAACGAAACATGCAAAATCAATGCCGGACTTTTTCCCTTAAAAAGCTAGTTTCTTAGACAGAAATTGAATTTTGTTATAAAAAACCCGTAAATAAAGATATACTATGTAAATGATAAATGATAAATGATGTTCCTAATTCCTATACCTCAGAATTTTGAGGTATTCTGTAGGGCACATTCCTATATTACAGCACAAATAGGAAGAATTGGAAAGGGCACAAAAAATCTCCAAGGCCAATGAGAGGGGCATTGAGGCCACTCAAAGGGGCATCCACGGCCATGGCCTTGGTGGCCTTGGATTAATTTAAGCCCTGCCTAAGGAAAAACACAAGTTATTGAATATTGTTTCCTTCAAGTTAGGAAGTTCAATCTAAGGCCCGACATATCCAACTTTTAGGCAAAAAAGGGGGTTGGGGTTGTTTCACGTTTATAAATTGATGTAATTTGTTGTACGTGTTTATTAAACTACAGTTCCACGTTCAAATTACCTGACATTTCATCTGACTGCTGTATACAAATTGAAATTCAAAATGTGTTTGGCTGAGCTACAAAATCTCAATTAGTCTCTTCATGAGACTCACAAAATTAAATTGAAAGCTCAAACGATAAACTTACATGTACCTGTTTGAAGTCTGAGTGGAATTTTACGAGGGAGTGGAATTTCATGAGGGAGTAGAGATTATTTTCCCTCCTTCCTTTCCATAGATAGAATTTAACTCTAGTTCACCGTTATTATAAATGTCAAATTAAGGCAAGTTCAGGGTCAGCGAACACATTTTGTTTCAAAGAATGAGTGCACATGTGCGAAGAGGGCTCTCAATTAATCTCTTTCCTCTACTCCCTCATAAAATTACATTGTAGGCTCAAACAAATAGTAAGTTATCATTTGAGCTTTCCATTACATTCCAGAAATGACCTATTGCTCCAATTTCTTTCACAATGTAATCATTTTTTTTCTTTCTTTCTTTCTTCCAACTAATAATTGTTTCTCACCTTGCTCTAAATAAGTCGCTACTACAGGCATCTCCACCCCTTTGAGTATCTCCACAAGCTTTGTGCCTGCTCTTTTTCCGTTCGCGTTTATCCACATAGACAAACACTGCAAAACAATATCCTGATAATCCTGCTCGGTCCATCCAATGATATTTGAGACAGCGGCCTGGAAACCGAGGTCGCGAAATAAGGGTAAGTAGTAGTCAACAGGATCGATGCTCTCTGTGAGTTGGCATATGAGCCCATCATCTTGCAGGACTTTGGACAATGCTTTAGCAGACATCCTGCAGATTGTGGGCTCCCTAGAAATTAAGAGAAAGGGAGTGCATCAGGAGAATAAAAATTGAATGCAGTTTGCCAGCAACAAAATTGTTTAAAATACGACTTGTTTATGTACATTTCCTTATTTCTGGCATACTTTCCCCTGTTCAAGGAGGCGCAATAGCTCAGTGGTACATGTAGAGCAGTGGTCGTGGGTTTGAATCCAAGTTGATGCACTAGCAACCTTTGGTATTAGGCATTAAACCTCAATACCAAGTCCCTTTGGAGAGGACTTAAAGGCACTGATCTCCTGGTTGCTAATACTTACAAGCATGTACAGTGTACAATTTATAAGTCAGGTAAAAACAAACAACAAACCAACCCAATAGCTGACTGGATACTTACAATCCATGTTCATATATGAAGGGGTGACCAAAGTTTGTGGAGATTTTTCTTTTCTTGCACATTACAAAACATCCAGATCAACATACATGTATATCATGTTCCATACGTCATAAGAATTGTAATTTATCATATAATCAGATTATATAACATTCCGAGGCTGTATACTTCAAACCAATGATAAGACGAGAATATCGAAAGGCTTACCACTACCGAAGTCTGTCAAAAAGTGTGACCTAAGTTCGTGCATGATATTTACTGCCCTCTTGTGATGGTCTTTATTTACATGTACATGTATGTAAACATTCCAAACTTTGAAAAAGATAATAATTTTGCTCTATCATTGAAATTTTGCCCCCCAAAAATAACCTTGTTAAATTTTGCAAATAAAAGACAATATTTTTGATTGTTCACGTACATGTATTAATGACAATGTGTTAGTCCCTATCTGCATGTCATTTGTTTGTTTAAACAGTTTATCATGTGTCTCCTTTTTATGTCAGCCATACATGTACATGAGTTCTCGCTCTTTTCTCTCTGTCTCTCCACTTTCCCCCTTTTATTTATTTAAATTTGTATTCTTACAAAACCCATAGATTCATTGAAATTCACAAACACAGATACGGTGGAAGCAGGCGCGCAGGGTCCTGTTTTTTTGCGTAAGAAATTGGAATTTTATCACTATTTTTCGGAGTCAATCCCTCTAATAAACTGATTTTCATATTTAAACAAAAACACAATTTGTTTAATATGATAAAAAGCGTGGAAAGACTACCGTAAATCTCTGTGTATAAGGTGCACTTTTTTCCGTCGGCAAAAATCAAAAGTCGGGGGTGCGCCTTATACACAGGTAAAGGATATTTTGAGTCCTCAAAATGCTACTTTTTAGTGGTTTTCGAAAATCTCTGAGTCTCAACACGAATTACATAATGCAAATAAAGAATAGGATCTACTATTTGAAGTTAAACTACGTTCCTAATTTGAAGGGAAGCCAAAAAAGCCAAACACAAAAGCCAACAAAGAATTGGCTTTTTTTGTGGCTTTTTGTTAACCAGATCAGATCGGCTCTCATTTCAGTGTTCGAAAATACTTTCATTTTATTACGAGGCACAGTTGAAGTGCTTGTGAACTAAGTTAGACCTAGTAACAATGTTGTTTTTAAAACTAAAGATGACAGAAAACTTTTCCTACGAGTCCAAACAGAAATTTGGACAGGCTAGTTTTCGAGTGGTGATTCGTTATCCACCGTGTAAGTGAGCTGCACAATACAGGTGAGTGAGCTGAAGACACAGCAGAGCTACGGCCGGCAAAGTGCTTTGTGAAGGGGCATAATTTATCGGGACTTTGAAGAAAAAAGAAAGAAAAAAACTCTCTTCCCTTCAAATTAGGAACATAGTTTAACTTCAAATAGTAGATCCTATTCTTTATTTGCATTATGTAATTCATGTTGATACACAGAGATTTTCGAAAACCACTAAAAAGTAGCATTTTGAGGAATTTTTTTTTCCAGAATTTTTTCCCAGATTTTTTATTTATTTTTTATTTTTTGTCTTCAAAATAGGGGTGCGCCTTATAAACGGGAGATTTACGGTAGCTTAATCACATTTTTATGTCGCACGGAGTTGTCGACGGTGCTCAAAGATTTTGTTGTCTCAGTCCCACACAGCACAGGCATGGCGTATCATTCTCTTGTTTACCGGTAAGCGCTTTTAGTGTTAGTACTAGTACTAGTATGCGAACTTTGGTCACGCGCGAAAGTTTGGTCACACCACCATACCCCATAGGCCTAGCTAGAGTCGCCTAGATCTAAAGTAGAACCTAGGCCTAGATCTATATGAATGAATAGTTTTTAACTAGATCTAGTAGACCCTATTATTAAATCTACATGTAGGTCTAGGCGGTAGGCCTAGAATAACCGAAAATAAGTAGATCTAGATCTAGGCCTAGACTAATAATCAACGGTTGTTCCGTTGAGATTCCATCTGGCTCCTGAGTCTGAGTAGGGTGTCTGAACAATTTTTCAATTTTCAATTTGGGATCGTTTTTCACCACTTTTGTTTGATATTTATTTTGAATTAAAAATGTAATCAGAATAATACATTTCAAATTTCAAGTCTAACCGATATTTCCATCAAAAGATACAGCCTCTTCGAAATGCTGCAATATTCATAGCATTTTGATCAGAATCAACGAAAAAGACGTACACGCAAAGTTATGTTGTTTTGCTAAATTTAGCCAAACAGCTGTATCGCGCGATTAAAGCGTATGCATAGCGTACGCATGTTATGCGCATCTTGCAGCTTGAGCCACGTTGTCTCCGCGATATTTGCCATTGACTACCAAGATATCCATACTTTCATTCACTATACGCGCAGATGTTACGCGATGTAACCATGGTTTGGACTGAGCGGAGCTCACGCCTCCCTAATTAGCTGATTTAAAAAATGTGGGAAGGGTATTTTCAAACTGTTGCGGCGAATGATCCCTTGGGGCTTGCGAAAAAAAAAGCACCTGGATATTATCCTTACGTCTAGCCCCACTTAAACCGCGGGGGCGCGGCTCAGGAAAGTGGCTAAATTTGGAGCTACAGTGTAGGATGCAAACAACATTTCAATCGCTGTTTTGACCAAGATATTTTTAGAATTCCGGGGGTGGCCCCCTATGGGGAATATGGAGAAAAACCTGCTCTTTCATATGACACCACATTTATTGAGTTTCATCTTCAGGATCATGAGTAATTAAGGTTTGAATTTCAATTTCTTCATAAAATCATTGACCGATTTTGCATGGTCACGCAATGCACGTAGACCACATAGGGATGCGTGCAATCTCTATGGGGAGCATTTTAGCACACAACATAGGGTGCGCGATCAGACACCCTAGTCTGAGTTTGACCGCCTGACTCTAGACCTCCCAGATAGCAAAATATCTGGGGCCCATCTGGGTTTTGTATGGGCGGACCAAAGCCCACGTGGCCCATACAAAAACCAGATGTACATGTATACCAGATGGGTCTTCCCACCCAGAACCCACGCATATGGGCCCCAAGTGGGCCCCATGTGGGTTTTTGGTGGTGAAAAACGCACGTCGAACATCGGCTGGGCCCAGCTAAAAACCAGGGCAGCGTTTCTCGAAACCGTCATAACTACAAGTTCACCGACATCCCATTGAAACGTGTGTATTAAGTTTAACACGTGTTTCAATGGGATGTCGGTGAACTTGTAGTTATGCCGGTTTCATGAAACGCTGCCCTGGTGTATACCAAATGGGCCTTCCCACCAAGAACCCACAAGTACCAACTGTCATATGAGTGGGACCACAGGCACAGTTACTCACGGTAAAGAGACACATATCAGATCCAAAATTACTCCAAATTGTAGAAAAAACTAAAGATCCATTATTGTTCCTGAGGACTAGGGTATTATTCACAGAGCAAATTGTAGTTCAAAGTATAAGGGACACCTAATTTTCTCAAAGTCACTACCAGTGAAATACCATTGACCATACAATTCCACCATTGAAACACCATTGACCATACAATTCCACCATTGAAACACCATTCACCATACAGACTCTACCATTGAAACACCATTGACCATACAATTCCACCATTGAAACACCATTGACCATACAATTCCACCATTGAAACACCATTGACCATACAATTCCACTATTGGCACACCATTGACCATACAATTCCACCATTGAAACACCATTCACCATAAAGACTCGACCATTGAAACACCATTCACCATACAGACTCTACCATTGAAACACCATTTACGATACAGACGCCACCATTGAAACACCATTGACCATACAATTCAACCATTGAAACACCATTCACCATACAGACTCTACCATTGAAACACCATTCACAAATACAGAATTCATATGGGCCCCATATGGGCCCCATGTGGGTTTTTGGTGGTGAAAATCGCACGTTGAACATTGTCTTCACCCAGCTGAAAACCAGATGTATACCAGATGGGCCTTCCCACCAAGAACCCACAGGTATAACGGAGCCCACGTGGCCCATATAAAAACCAGGTGTATACCAGATGGGCCTTCCCTTACAAAAAAATGTTCAATGGTATACCAATGGTATACCATTCACAAACACCATTTAAATACCATTCGGATACCATTGAGATTACGCTCGCTACGCTTGAATGGGCACCATTCATCTACCAGTGAAATACCATTCAACCTAATAATAATTTTTTGGACGCTCATTTGCATAATCACCAATGGTAGATGAATGGTACTATTTACACTACTGAAATTTGAATATGAAATATGCAAATTTTGTTACATTAATCTACCATTCACCATTGGCATGGTAGGCCAATGGTGGATGTTGAATGGTAGGCCAATGGTGGATGGTGAATGGTAGGCCAATCTACCATTCACCTACCATTCACCTACCATTCACCATCCACCATTGGCCTACCATTCAACACCCACCATTGGCCTACCATCCACCATTGGCCTACCATGCCATTGGTGAATGGTAGATTAATGTTACAAAATTTGCATATTTCATATTCAAATTTCAATGGTGTAAATAGTACCATTCATCTACCATTGGTGATTATGCAAATGAGCGTCCAAAAAGTTATTATTAGGTTGAATGGTA